CGCTAGGTGAAAGATAGAGCGAGAAAGAGAGAGAGAGAGAGAGAGAGAGAGAGAGAGAGAGAGGGGAGAGGGTGAGAGATATAGAGAGAAGGGTAGGATCTATGAGAAACAGTATTCTTTTAGACAGCCTAATTGCCGATGGCCAATCGGGAACTTTCGACTTCGCTTTCATCGATGCCGACAAGACGGCCTACCCCGAATATTATGCTAAAACTATGACTCTTCTGAGAAGCGGAGGCGTTATTCTCGTGGATAATGTATGTTTTGAAGTTGCTTAGGCTGAACGATGGATTTGCTTAGGCTTAGCTTGGGCTTAGCTTAGGCTTATCTTAGGCTTAACTTTAGCTTAGTTTAGGCTTGGCTTAGGCCTGACTTGACTTGGGCTTAGCCTGAATTTAACTTAGCTTGGCTTGGGCTTGGCTCAGGCCTAGCTTAGGCTTAGATCGGGCTTAGCTTAGGATTAGCGTAGGCTTCGCTGATCCTTAGCTTCGGCTTATCTTTCTTCTCGGCTTTTTTGCTTGACAATCTTCCGTTTGAATCAAAGTTTTGTTAAATTTGTATTTAGGCCCTACGCGGAGGAAAAGTTGCCCTGCCCGAGAAAGACGAAAGCTGTACTGCCATCGATGCTTGCAATCGTCAAATTTTTGCGGATCCTAAGTAAGTTTGGAACTAAAGATGTGCAGGCAAACTAGCAGACAGCATCTGAGAGGACACGCGTATTCGAAATAAACACTTCTTATGGCAAAAAAACAACCTAAAACTGAGTTTTCAGCTCCAACTCATTCCTGATTAACGTCGGCGACGGGCTGCACGTCGCCTTTAAAGCTTGAACAAAAATTATAAAAATTAAACCACGTATTGTGCTCAAATAAATGACCTATGTCGCAGACGGTTTTTTTGTACGCTACAAAGTAGAGACATTTGTCATCACCGATTTCAGCTCGACTCGCGGCTTCGTCGAATATGATCCCATTTTTTTATGAATCTGCCTGAGTCTGTCTCTCTCGCTCTCTCTCGCTCGCTCGCTCTCTCACTCGCTTTCTCGCTCAAACGCAACATCCACCGTATCATTTCCGGTTCAATATTCCCCGTCCAAGGAAACGGTGATAAAGGTCAATAGGAGGATAGTAGACCAAAATTGTAAAAAAAAGATGAAGGAGAGCGAAAGAATCAGGGAGAAAGAAAGAGAGTGAGAGAGAGAGAGAAGAGAGAGAGAGAGAGAGAGAGAGAGAGAGAGAGAGATATGGAAGGAAACGGCTGATACCACAGATCCGTACAGAGATGAGACGTACATAAAGATGACACTGACAAACGCAACATCAGGCGCCACTTTATTTTAGTCTCCATAGCGTGTATCCTAGCATTTTGCAGCTAGCAGTCCAGTCTTTTCAAGTTCAACTTACAACAGGCTGGCGATTTATGAGGGTTTGATCTTTCGAGGTTCTAGGAGATGTGAGGTACATTTCTCCGCCTCTCGGTATGCCATGTCCAAACGCGTCAAAATTCTCTTGAAGGGAGGGGCAAGGAATGTCCGTAGATTGTTGTGGTTATAGGCTTCAGCTAGATTTTTCAGCACCCCGCACAACGCATTCGCTCGCGTTTCGATTGCTTAATGGATTAGGGTTATAGGTTTAGGATTTGAACTTTAGGATTGGGACTTTCAGGACGGCCAAGCGTTGGTTGCGTTCATTTTTCACTCAGCCAAGGTGGCAGTTGATGGCTAAATAAGTCTTAAAAGAAATAAATCAATAAATTATATTTTGAAGTTCTGAATTTCGCAATCCATTTCCAACAATTTTTCTTTGCACATCTGTCCGGACCGTGTTCGGAAACATTTTGCCCCCGAATTGACCTTGCCCCGCGTGAAGTTGACAGGTTGAGAAAAAGAAAGAGAGATGGAGTGAGAGAGATGGAGAAAGAGGGAGAACGAGAGGGTGAGAGAAAGAGAGAGAGAGAGAGAGAGAGAGAGAGAGAGAGAGTGCTCACAAAAACAAACCGCCCTAGTGCAACACTTAGGCAGGAAAGGGGTGGCTGCGTAAAAAGAGCAAATAAAAAGGGCTCTGGTCAGGCTGGCGAGTCCATTTTTCTCAAACGGCATTTCAAGTTCAGCGTGTTCTTAGGGCTTGATTGGATTTCTGTAGTTTTTATGATGTTCTTACGGCATTCAGTTTCCAACCCAGCAATTTTCCAGGTGCTGTCGAGTTTTATATCGATTTTGGCCAGATTTCAGGTAAAATTCACGGCATTTACGCTCCTAAAAATTTTAAAATAATTTTAAATTTTGAAGTGTTTTTGATACTGTAAATTGTAATTTGTTTTTCTATGGAAAATCAATGATTGCTCGTGTTTATCTCGGACTATTTGGCTCAAAAAAGGTCATGAGTCACCGGCTAAAAAAGAGTTTCGTATCGCTTCCTTTCCCACAACATCTACCCTCAGTCGGCTCGATCGCCACGATTTCGAAAACAGATTTTATGGCGGCCCTGTGAAACAGTGGATCATTTGAATTTATCGCTTTTCCTGGGCTTCCTCTGCTTCTTAGTCTCTTCTGCTTCTATACAAAATGTGAGCCTTTGTAACTTGATACCTCACGCCCAGGGCCAGATACTTATCATTTACTAGCCCCTGGGGTTCAAAACATTACGGCAACTCGGCAATGCCTTATCATATCAGCGTCACAAGCTACAGATAGACTTTGCATAGGCGCGTACAGTTTGATAACTTTTGAGAACGTTCTTGAAGTTTGGAACGATTAAATAAAGCTAAAAAATTCTAATTTCCCAGCTTTTGAACATTGCAATAAAAAATTAAAAATTTTGAATTGGATGTTGCTGCCAAATAACTATCGATAGCGCTTAGATTTTTGCCATTGAGAAAAACGCGCAGAACTGTGTTTCCTCCAAAAACGATTTCTCCATTGCCATACCATATTCTCCTTGTTCTGGATTTCTCTAGGAATATGAATCGATTTCCAAATGTTCTCTACTTTTCTGCGCTGGTTATCTTAAATCTCAAATGAATGCCGCCAGCCTTCGCCAAAAGCTAAAATCAAGTATTTTTGAATTTAGTGAAACTTGACCAAAAGCGAAAAAAACGCGTTTTTCTCTAATGCTAATTCTCCAAATTTCTAAATAGATAATTTGTATAAAAATCTGAAGCGAATATGCATCAAAATTAACGGCAGTAACGGCCGATTTTAGAAATAGCACCCTGATGCTTACTAGCCTCGAAAAAGCATGATTATGTGTTTTGTGACGGGGCGGTCATCTCAGAATGTCAGGATTCCCCTCCCGATCCGTGTCTCTAGTTTCTGATTCGATCGAAAAGCAAAGGCTTATCGCAGCGTTTCCAGCTATGTCCTGGGCCCAGATGGCTTTTTGTCAGCGTCTCCGGGACGCTTTATAAGGTTCCAGGATTTTACGCTGGGCGCCGGAAGTTTGCGCGAACTTTTGATCTCGTGTTTTCACTGCAAATTTTCTATGTAACATTCTGTGCGAAAACATACATTAAGAAGCGTTTTCTATGTATACTTCGGCTTTTCTTATTGTTTATGAAAACTTTTTAACGTCAAAATTCTCCTTTTTGCAGAAAACATGTCCGGAACCGTGTCCAAGAGCTACTACGAGCACGATGATAAGGTCATCGATTATTGCAACAAGGTATCGAATCCAAATTACTGAAGTTTCTTAAATCAATTTACAGCTGACCATCAAGCTCCATCCGATGCAGCAAGAGCTCCAGGACTCAACCCTGGCCAACCACAAGATGTCCGTCATGCTCGGAGCCCCGGAAGTTCTCACGATCGGCCAGAACTTCTTGAAGTTGATCCACGCCAAGAAGGTGTTAGACATTGGTGAGTTAGAGAGAGAAAGAGAGCGAGAGAGAAAAAATGAGATAGAGATCGAAGTTTTAACCCTCTTCTTCCAGGAACCTTCACCGGTGCCTCGGCCCTCGCCTGGGCCCTTGCCCTCCCCGACGATGGCCAGGTCATTTCCATGGACGTCGACAGCTCTGCTCTTGATCAAATTGGCCGCCCGGTCATTGAGAAATGCCCCAAAACCGCTAAGAAAATCAAGTTCCAAACCGAATCGGCCATCGATACGCTCGGTAAGTTAAGGGGAGCTTTTTAGAACAGATATCTACGCAGTAAAAATTAGCGGATGGCAAAACAATTTTCAAATCTTCACATTTTTAGTCAAGTAGCGTATTTTATAGAAAGTTTTGCAGGATAAAGTGCACTAACTACATTTTTTCTAGAACCGATTCCAAGCTTTTTATGCCGCTCATAGGATGCTGATTTGTGGCTTTTTCCGCGTTAAATCACTCATAGCTTTCGAGAATTTGGCTTTTCCGGAAAAACGATAACTATATTCGGATCCAGCGCAAAATTCTGCACAAAACAAGGGTGGTCCCATCCCAACTTGCGGACGACACTCAAAACGTCTGCGTGTGAGCCTTTTCTCATCCAAATTCAACGACTAAAAACCATAAAAATATAAAAGTTCATCTTCTAAAAACGTTCATCTACTTTCAGACCGCCTGATCGCCGACGGTCAATCCGGAACCTTCGATTTCTCCTTCATCGATGCCGACAAGGTCAACTACTCCAACTACTACGACAAAAGCCTGCAGCTCTTGAAGCCCGGCGGTGTCATCTTGGTTGATAATGTAAGTGAATGCTTTTTTATAGACTGTTAATATGCTGTCTGTTTAAAAATACTCTTAATTTTCAGGCCCTGTGGAGCGGAAGCGTAACAAAGGAAAACAAGGACGAATCGACGAAAGCCATCGACGCCTGCAATCAGCATATCAGCCAGGATCCCAAGTCGAACTCTTTCCTCGTCAACACGGGCGATGGTCTCCACGTTGCCTTCAAGATTTGAATACCTTACAAATTTCATAAAGTCTCGTTTTTGTGCGACTGACTGTATGAATAAATTTTATGCGATGCTCGTTGGGAGAAATAGGATTTAAACAACGCAAATCTGCGCTACAAACTAAATGCCTTGTCCTCCGACAACCAAACGCTGGAAAACCATTTGTGCCCTGGAAAATTCATCGGGATTCGGAAATTCGGTGATCTCCATCATAGGAAAGTCTTTCCACAGCATATGTGTTGTATCATCTTTAAATTCCTCAAAGCGTCTGTCCTCTACGGTCCAAATGCCTGCCACACCCGCCGAGGGCACCGTTCGGAGCAACCACACCTTACGCGGTTTCTCTGGGTCTGCTGACAATTCTTCACATAGACGCCTGCGCTCCTCGGTGTCGAGGTCGTCATCATTTCTCGCTATCAGGAATCGATAGCGAGTTTTCTGGCACTTGTCAAGATATTGGGCAGTTAGCAGCTGTTCGGATTCCCGGTCAAATAGAACGGGGTGTGATTGTCCATCTGAAGTTGGTGTTTGTGCCATCGATTGGTCAGATTATCATACCTAGAATTATCTCCAAAGCGGCCTGCAACCCCTGCAACTCGAAGGCCTGCAAAAATGAGGCTTGTCCTTGATCGGTCATTTTCGCTTGTCCAGGAATGCTAAAATACAGCATCTATATGTTCTGAGCATAAACTTACCAAAATACCAGCGGTCCGGGTTTTCTTGACCGAAATTTGCTGCAGCAGGAAAAGGTCGAACTTTTCCAGGCATGCCAGTAGTCAGCCCGAGCGAAGCACCAATTTCGTGACCAGCTGTAGCTTGTCGCTAAAATCAGAATTGTTTTTTAACATTGATTTGGTGGACGGGGATCTATTTAATAGACTCACATTCCTGAACTAGGATCATCGCGCCGATCCTGAAAGAAGAGTGAAAGAGTGGATTCTAAACACGATCCAAACAAACCTCAATGTTTCAAGCAAAGTGAAAGGCGGCGGTAAGAGCGGTTTATCCTCGTATTCCACCGTTTTTTTATACCAGACACGTCGCCAGTTTTCTTCTCGTTTGACCGTCTCGAATTCACTGCTAAAAGCGAGCCCAGAATGACATATAGCTGTTTGCTGGGCTTTTATGCTCTCGTGCTTTTTGACAGCTGACAAATTTTACCCCTTTTAATTCAATCATGAGTCCATGGAAATCCCACCTCAAAACTGCTGTCAAGATGTTGATCAAAATCACTGAAGCAGTTAGGGTGTACACAAACATGAGCAGTCGCATCATCCAGTTATTCGCACCGCACTGAAATTCGCGGATTTTTTCATGCAAATCCAAAAACCTCGGTCAGAAGCTGGAGGCTGGAAGCAAACGATGGCAAAATTGGTTTTTTTTTGGTTTTTGGTTTTTCTTTTCATTGTTTCATTGGTTTGAATATGACAGTAAGCTGTGGATTGTTAAGGGTTTAGCGAGGTAAAGAAAATGCTAATTTTTTTTTGGCCGCAGGCGTGTATTTAGGACAAGGTTCATCGAAAAGGAAAAATAGCACCTCTATGTTAAACTACCACAAACTTGCATTTTTATGATCCTCACCTGCCAGTCCGTATATGTTCCCGAAGAGGTCCCGGACTCCGTGCAGTTTTTACCTGCAAAACGCGTGATTTGGGGAAAATTTAAAGACTTCTGACCGTGCTTATAATTTTCTTCCATATCGGAGAATGTTTCCCAGGCTCCGGTCCTAGATAAAAATATACCTGTACACCTTTACTTTCGATTACCTAAATAATTGTGCAAATATGTCAAGCTTTCCATCGTCTCCCCATAAAATATACTGCAAAAAAAATAAATAACAATTTTTCCCACTTACTTGGCTAGCGGAATAGGTTGCCCAATGAGTGGCCAAAATCCCAGACACATAAACGAAGGTCCACAGCTAAAATAGCGAATATTTTTCTTTTGAGCGAGCGTTTTACTAACATACCGTGTTTTTCATCGTGAAAATGATAGGACTGAAGGTAGGCTGGTGGGTAAAGGAGCGAAGCAGCAAGATGCAAGATAAGATGAAGCCGATGAAGAAAATTATATCGCTGCAGACAAAGACCCTTAATAGCGTAAAAGTTGCTTTGCCACTAAGGCAGTCACCGTTTCATGAATGGGCCCTCGGGCGAAAGTAGATTAGGGATTAAATTAGCAGCATGCTTGGGTGGACTGTCCATTAAAGTACCCTCGCTCGTGAGCAGATCATCCATCAAAGTGCCCTCGGTCGAAAGTAGAGTGTTCAACAAAGCACTGGAGGCTTCGGTTATTATCATTAGGATTATCATACAGCCTCGTGAAGCGAACATGGGTTATAATATCCTGCTTTATTGGCAACAACAATTGCCCACAGCACTCTTTCTCAAAAAGCTAGTCATCTGGGTCTCAAATTTGCTGCACCTTTAGGAATTTTGCTCTATCGCGGACTAAGCACAAGTTTGGGCTGTTTTTAATTTGGGCCGGCTCGAGTTCCTCTAAAAGTGTCCGCTTTGGCTTTTAGCACGCAGGACCTTCTTTGTTTTTCATTTCTCACTTACAAAACCGTTTGATTTTTGAAGATGTTTCTTTGATATTATCGCAAACTCATTTCAAATTTTCGCAATTTCTTCGCACGTCAGAAAATACCACATTTTATGGCTACCGTATTAATAGAAACGCCAATTTGTCAACGTACGTTGGTTTTGTGTCTGAAGTCATCGTCGTCAGCTGAGATATCGTGATCGTAAGGCATAGTATGAAATTCACAAGGCCCAGCCCCGAAATAGTCAGGTACGACCGCTGCTTACGCCAAAGGAAGCTGACGTAATTGTAGAGAAATCTAGCTTTGGGCTGAACAAAATTCATTAGAGGTAGGCCAAACAGAAAGTATTTACTTTCGAAAATCTGATGCGATAGTGGGTGTTCACGAACTCATAACTGATTTCAAAATAGTAGCATACCTGGTAGCTGAAAATTTTAATTACACTAAAGGGTCTTCGTCTTCCTTAAAATTTTTTCTATTCAGCAGGGTGGAAAAGCAGCGTCGCGGCCATTCCCTCTGCCCCCGAATTACCATGACAAAAATCCAAACGCTGTCTCTCTCTCTCCCTCTTTTTCGCTTTATTTAGGTTACCGCAATCGCCCAAAACGGCTATTTTCGAAAGAATCGGTCGCCAAAATTAATAAAAAAATTTAGATTTCATCTCGAAAACCGTTGATTGTGCAAAATCTCGTAAATGTGAGTCATCTCAGGCCAGCTACGCCCCTAATGTAGGATCACACAGATCTTAAAATTCATCCTCTAGTGAGGCATTCTCCGGACAACCTGACGGGAGTTGGATGCAAAGTGCCACACATAGACACTTTTTTATACGTAGTAGGATTAACTATATCTAAAGAACGTACGCTGCGACAATCACGCCGAGTATGCCTCGCTGCAATGCCGGGTTTTTTGTTGCGAACCAGTTCGGCCTTGCGTTGAAGATGTATAAGAAAGTCCAGTATCCAACCAAATATACACAATAAAATAGCTGAATCGACTTTCGGATAGATTGTTCAGGTTACTGACCATATGTAGGAAGAATTTGAAGCGCGGCGTGTTAGGCCATAAAGAGCCCCAGCGCTGCTCCACGGCTTGTAGGCAAGCGGAATTACGGAAGAAGGTCTGAAACGAATAGTATATGTGGTAGAAATGGCACTGGCTTGTCAACGGGGGAGGAGTTAAGCAGGGGTTAATTCCTATATTTCTGATGGTCCCAAGTTGTTAGTGTATAATAGATGGTCTGTAATAGTTTTTACTTGTTTTTAAATGCTGGGAACTTACACAAAAAATTGGGAAGTTTACAAAATAGGTAATTTTTTCAAAATAATTGTTTAAACGAGGATCCGTGGAAAATGCTATCAAAATGGTTTACATTGCGTTATAGCGCCCGACCATTGGGGAAAAATAAGGTCCCCCGCAGTCGAGTACCGTGAACGTTAGAAGTCACGGTGCGTCTTGAGAAATATTTTATTTAGTTTTACACAGCTGGCACGTACCACAGCTTTGCACTCTGAGATAAAGTCAATAGTTCTAGTCGATAAGTCGCCTTTCGTTTCGTATGCCATATAACGTTCTGAGAGCAGGTCTTGCGTCTTTTGGAAATCTTCAACGTTACAGCACTCCAGCACAGTTTCACTCATATACAGAAATGCGCTAAAAATCCATAAGTTATATTATTCTTAGTTGGCTGTACCGTTTTTGCTTATCATATACAGAAGCTGCTTCAGCGTAGTTCTTCTTTGTAAAAAATTTCCGTAAGTACTCGGACACCGAAACGACCAAGACGGCCGAAAAAATTGGTCGCTCCGTCCGTTTCCATAGACCGTAGCAGCTCGGATCGCTGAATTTTTGTATGTAACTAACGATTACACTGTATAAATAACCGACCTATAAAATGCACAGCACAAAAGTAGCCGTAGATTTCGGTCTTGCAAGTCTTCTAGTCCATTCTGTAGTGGGCATTTGGTTACTTTAGTTTCAAGTGGCGACCCACGTATTCCAGATGTTCCACAAACACCCTCCCGTTCAGAAACTGCAGAATTTTTAGCCCTTTTTCACTAAAGGTCGCCGGAACGGCATCCTTATTTAGCGGCTAAGATGTTTTGGAAAAAAGGCAAAAAAAGACCTTACCAACAAAGGCACTGCCTCCTGTCTATATCGCTTGTTAGCGCAGCCAAAACCGAAACATGACAAGCAGTTAAGCAACTTTTCCCCTAAAATGCCACAGTGGCGCCAATCCGTCATACGAAAATGTTTTGCCATCAGATGGTTCCAGTCGCTTCGCGACTGTAACCATCTGGCCTTCGGGTTACCCTTGATGTAATACACCTACCTATCTACCTACTTCTACTAATTACTTCGATACCTTCCTGAGGGCTTTATATACCTCCTCTAGGCGAAATCCCCTTAAAAACTGAAATAACGACCGACCCGACCGACCGGATACGTGGGAGAAATAAAAGAAATGAAATGGCTCCCGTGAAATTTTTCATCCACGAAAGGCGCGCTACCTGGCTCACTATGTCCAAAATCACCCCAACCTCGGTCCCCACCTCGTTTACTAAATTTTGCAAAGAATTTTGCAAAGTTAATTTTAATAATTTAAACTAAAACTTTTTCATAATTTTTTTATCAGTTTAGGGGTTTCTGACCACGCTCAACCCGAATCCGAAGAGAGCTAAGCTCGAGCTCTTTTCCCCTTCGAGTTGGATTCGGGACCGGACGGACGGACGGACAGAGGGAGACCAAACAAAATTGTTATAGTTGATAATTGTCGAAAAACCCGGAGTTTAAAAGTTACCGACCAGTCGTCTGGTTCGGAAATTTCACAAGTCCATACCGCTCCGCAAATTGCGTCTTGAATTGAAGTTTGACTTCCTCGTCTATCATAAGCAAATACCTTTGATTCCAAGAACCCAAGAAGGATCGTCAACTCGTTCGCGGCTTCTTTCGCTTCTTCAGGGATATCTCGGACCGGCAGCTTTTTACCGGACGTGCTTAAATGGAGGATACTTTTATATAACGTTGAAGTTATATTCTTCCTAAAATTTCATTAAGATAAGTTATCGTTACAATCGCAATTTCCAGGCCGATTCTCTGAGCCGTTTGCACAAACCAAGCGAGTATACAGAGGCATAAGACCATTGTCACGATGACGATGATGGCGGACCAGGTTCCCAACTCCATAGCGCGTCTTCCCGAAAATGTAATGTTCCTAGGAATGAACGGGTAATTAAGAGAGGCATTATACTATTGCAAGCTAATATCCAAATCCTACCTTATATAATTTGGTCGCGTATCTTTGTGTGTGTGTGTGTGTCCGGCGCCAGGGAGGGCTACTTTGCATAATTCCAAAAATACAAATTTCCTCATTCTTGCAATTTGCACGCGCGGGTGTGGTCGGATGAAGGGAGGGGTCCGAATGACCGAAGCTATCGGAAAGTCAAATTTCTCATGCAAAGGCCGCATTCCAGCGCCCAAGGCCCGCGAAGCGGGTTTTGGGCGCTGGTCTAGCATAATTTTGCTTCACGCTAAACGTCGACGGCGGCAATTTTGGGTGCTATTGGTAAATTTCTCGAATGACTTATTCAACTAGAAAAAACGTAAAGCTTGCAAGTTAGTTCATGTTTTTCCAGGCGCTTCAGGCTTATCACCAGAACTAGGGTGCCCGGCGTTTCTTATCATTTTCTTGCGGCCTTCCCCTATAAACTTGGACTTCAAGAGCCCCTCTCAAAAGCTGTCCAAAACCAAAAACCGGAGTTCTAAGTTGGCTTATTTCTAAAAAGTGGGAGATAGATCGACACCTAGATCCATTTAAGAACAATTCGGTGTCAGTTAGTCTGGTCTCGCCAGTCTGGTCGAACGCAAACGGCCCCGGGTCTCCGCTTCGAATAAATTATTTTCTGAAGAGGCACTGGCATAAAAGATAAAAATAGCTTATGATTAGCTTTAAGACAGACACGCACAAAAGATGAATATAACAGTATCTGTAAGTTTGGTCGTTTCGTTCAAAGTTTGCAGGCATTTGTGATTTTCTCTTTCCAGTAGCGAGGTCGTATCATTGTTGCCTGAGGCATGGGGAGAATTTACTCACAAATTTTCGGATGCAACAAATTCTTGCCCGAAGCAGACTCTCAAGCTGCTGATAAGGCAGAAGCGGGGCAAAAACAGGATTCACGCTCGGCCTGCATTACGTTTTTTTACTGTTTTGAGACATCTTTGCCTCTGCTATCATGTGTAGAATTTTCAGCTGATTCGGAATCCGCTTTTCACATTGACAGAGGAGCCGGATTTAAAAAAAGACAATGTTTATTGTAAAGTTGACCGAAATGCCGGACTTTAAATCGTTTTAAAGTTATCGTTAAAACTGTCTTGAAAATGCTGGGTAGACGAGGATTTTTCATTAATTGAATTCATACATTTCTTTTCATTTAATCCAAACTCTCAAGCCGTATCAGCAGATCTCTGAAATAATCTACCGTTCGCCGGAAAGTTTTTCTGGCGTGTTTAATGTTAATTTAATTGTTTTCCCAAAACTATCGTAAGTTTTCAAATCGATCCACCCGGCAACTTTCGAAAACATACAGGGTGTCCCAAAAAAACGAACCATCTGGCATTTCGCCGTGTTACATCCAATCGGTCCCAAAATTGGACCAGAGGTGTATCAGACCCTAAACAACAACAATAATGACTCTTAGCCCATAGCTACAGTCGTTCTAGAGTTATTACGAAAATACTGTTTTTTCCACAGCTCCAAACAGTTCTTCGGCTATGTTTTTGGACTTTGCAACGACTTGCGTCGACTTCCGGCTGCGAATCCCTAGTTTCGCTGAAGACCTTGGATAACTTTACGTTGCAAAATCGCTTAAATGGAAGCTGATGAAATTAGTTTTGGTCCAGAAAAAATGTCCTAAGGTAAAGAAGGCTTGCCGAATCCTTCTCACTTAATGTTTACGGGGCATAATTCCACGAAACCCTACGAAAAAATGAAAAATAAAGTTTATTTGTGACGTACCTCGGGAACCACTATAACTACAGGGCTATAAGTCAGGATTGTTGTTATTTAGGATCTGATACAACTCTCTTCCAAACTTGGGACCGATTGGATGTAAGACGGCGAAATGCCAGATGGTTCGTTTTTTGGGACACCCTGTATTCCTGATCAGCGAAAAGTTCTGCAAAAGATAGGTTAGGTTCCGAATGAGTTTTTCAACTATGTAAATACAGTACATTACATTTAGCGTCTGGATGGCGCCTACTACCGATGGGTTCATAACCACAGCCTATTTCTCTACAACGGTTAGGGATGATGGAGAGGCTATGAGAAAGGCCCAGACGGTTATACCTTGAAATTTTTGGTTAAGCAGCATATTTAGATGGTGTTAATGCTCCTGGGTTTCGTCGTCATCTTTCTCGCTTTCGGGATATTGGCCGGGATCTTTTGTGCAAGCGGAGGGTTTGTTACTACTACTTGTGTTTCGACCGTGTTTTTAATATATGACCCGTGTCGAATAACCGCTTTACGGCTTTTCAACCGCTTGTCTGGGACCTATGAAAACTTGGCTTTTCACTGACCGATCACCAAAAATGAAACCGCGCCCTCTCCCTCCCTTTTTGTAAGCTGGGGGTGTACCTCGGCGTATGCCACCTGACCCTAAAAAAGAACTTTACGAGAACTTGGCAAAAACTTTAACAGCGAAAATGTTAGTTTTTGGAAAGTCTAATCTGTCTGCACTTGATTCCTTCTTTATCTAGTGGCGCTTCCCGGAGCCTCTAGGTGCCTAACATCTTTGCCAAAGTTGTATGCAATACTACAGTGTCCCAAAAAAATCGACCCCCTCGAGCGGTCCGGAGGAGGGTCGGATCTGGATTTTTTAACACCATTCGAAAACCCTCGAAACGGCGAGAAAACAAGTGTTTTGCTTTACAATTTTTTTTACATAGCGCCGGATATTACTTCTTTTCGTTATAGTAATTTTTATATTAATTCCATTTCTGAAAAAAAAGCATATCATCAGCGTCGCCCTGATCGCTTTAACAATCAATTAACATGCGGATTTTGCATAAAATCTCCAGTTTTTATCGATTTTGGTCTTAAAATTCGCGAATTAAAATGCCTATATTGAAAAACGAAAAGTGATTTTTTCTCGCCTTTCCGAGAGCTGTCGATTGTTACCCAAATCCTCAACATCGGACACTTCTGCGGCCCACTGGAGGAATTCGATTTTTTGGTACACGCTATAGACACTTATAACGAGAACTTTTGGTCAATATTTGGAAAAGGTTCAGGGTTTCAGTTGGTCACGCAAGAGGGCGAAAAAGTTCTGGTCAGAGCGTTGTTCTCGTTCCCTTGACGGCCGCAAGCAATTCCTGAAAAAGAGACCGGGCCTCCGAAAAATCGAAGAGAATTACGCAGTGCTCACGGCCTTCTTGGAATGCTTGGAGGGAAAGGTTAACTCCCTTTTCATCCATATGCCTTCAAAGTTTTCAGTACGGTTTCGCTGAGCGCTATGGGCTGGTCCAGTTTGCAAGTGATTCTGCACTAGTTTCAACAACCACCATTCAGAGACGTCTTCATTTTTTGGTGTTCTATGGCATATGTATGTTCGACAACGCGATCGGTATTTTTAACGAGATTCTCAAAATTACATCAGATCAACTTTTTACGATCTCAATTTCGACAGTTCAGAGCGGCTCCTACCTATAATTACTAGTTCAAAAGAAAGACATAGCTTGAGTGAATTCGAGTGCACGATTTTGCTATCTTGATTAGTAAAGGAGCTCCGAAATCTGGTCCATGTCCCTCAGCGTGGTTTCCTGGCAAATGGCCAGATGCAGACGCGACCGCGCCGCGTAATCTTTTGCGCCTGTTTGGACGTGAAAATGCTTGAAAAAATTTGAAAATACCGACGTGATCCCTGAATCCGCACCAAATTTTGATTATTCTAGACTTTTTAATTAAGAAGATTGATTGGAGGATCACCGATATCGAGAGATTGGGTCCCTCACAAGGCGTAATCGTGGCGCGCCCAAACATTTGTTTTTGGCCTGAAAACAATTCGGGTTTTCTCAAGCATTTTGCATTTTACGCCACGAAATCAATTTTCTGGGTCTTTACGGCAGTAACCCTTTCTTTTTGACTAGTAGGTTCAATCCCTTCTAGCCCCTTTAAAAGGGTAAAAGTGCCTAGGGTAGCACCACCAAATTCTCCTAAATTCTTGGCTACTTTTGGGCCAAATTCGATAATTCAGACAGCAAACTAATTAGAATGGAGGGACGCTCTCCATCAATTATTTTTAGCGTCAGCAGCCCGGACGCCGATGATGATCAAAATTCTTTGCTCCAAAGGGAAGCGACATTTAAACCAGCTCCAGTAGGGGTGAAAGTCCTGGAATTCCTGAACAATGACGTGTTCTTGGAGCACTTGGAATATGTAAGCCACTTTCGTTTGATTGGAAACCGAATGCAGAATGGCCTGGAAAACTTGTACGATCAGAAGCTTGCGCGCTTTTTGTGCTGTGCACTGTACAAGTGAGCCGCTTTTAAAAAGCGAGGACATCGTTGTTTTTTTCAGCGATCCCAGCTCCTACGGGTTGTGGCAAGAATGTGAAGCGCCAATTTTTTCGGCTGTCCTCGGCGTCTCGTTGTCGGAACATCTTCGCCGGTTCTTTGCCGACAGGAATTATGTGGATCAGGCGGATGCGTACGCTAGACAGAAACGGTATGGATAAATCCACTATTGGTGGTACTTGAGGGTTTTTAAGGATCTTCCTTTTCCTCAGTGAATCAATCCTGGAACGCTGCCACCAAACGGATTACCGCAAAACTCAGGTGCTCCTATCAGAGCGCTACATGGCCTACAGGAAGAGAGGAGACCTCACCACAAAACTCTTAGATTTTATGCATGAATGTAAGGCGGAGGTATGCATGGGATTTTGGCGACTCTGGCTAACCACGCCAGTGCCGTCAGTATTTTTAAATAAATGCTAGGATAACAAGAACGTCGTATTCAGACGTTCTTCCAACATCCCTCCTGTCTTCAAGCGATCGAAAATCGTTGGCGCCCCGGGTTCAGATGTTCGACGTGGCATCAGATCATCGTTACTGTTACTTTCGGTTGGACTACCCTGTTGCTTTGGAAGTGCGGAATCTACTTCGAGCCAAGTAAGTCCGAATGGCCAATAGTTTGGCCGAAATATGTCGAGTCCCAGAAAAAGCATCGCCTCGGAATGGGTCCCTTCGCATCCTAACCGCTCGAAAATTGGACCCTGGATAGCAACAATTTTGCGGCAATTTTTTTATTTCCATTAGCCATTAGCTAAGAGCACCGTTTATTTCCGTTTTATCTCAAAAACTACTGTAGTAGCTATTGTTGTGATTTAGGGTCTGATACAGCCAAGGTACCGATCTGAAGTTACGAGGTCAAACGCCACGGCAATGCTTTTTTGAGACACCATAGTCCAAACGATTTTTAGGAAAAGGAGACAAAGGCTCGGCCGAAGATACCCTGTGGTCCAGTCTAGGCCAAGGATGGTACCGAGTCCGAGTATTCCTTGGTTCGCCCAGCGTCCTCTATATTGTACACTCGGTAGGCGCACCTAAAAGGTAAATTAACTTTTCCAGGCGGCTTACTTAGTCTATCTGGGCTGCTACTGGTACTTCCTTTATTCTACGCATGTCCAAGGCGCATTAGAGAGCAAGGATTATCTGTCAACAAAACGTCTATGGGGAATTCTTATCCTAACGTGGGTTATTTTCTATAGTTTACCCATGTGCATCTTTTCCAGATATCAAATGAGTCATCTCCTCGAAATCACTTATGAGTTCATCCAGACGCACTATAGAATTCGCTTTTCTAACGTAGGAGACTGTTTCAAGCCGATGTTATCGAACAAATTCTTCCAGCTTGAGGCGCGATTCCTAGCCGCTTACATTAACTTTCTATGGCGCAAACAACGATCATATTTTGTTCTCTCAATATTGGCCATCGTTAATTCAACAATCATTGGAGCGATGATGTTTTTTGACTTCAACGAATGGCCCCGCGGAGGACAGGGGCAGACCTTTACATCGGAAGCGCTAGTGACAGCTGACACGACACTGCCAATATCGCAAGCGCCGATGACAACGTTCGCTACCACTGCTAGCCTACCAACATTTGAAACAACGACAAACGGGTACTGATCGAAAAGCCTTTCATTTTCTTTAAAAGGTCAGATCGACAAAACGGGGTGTGGAAAGCGCCTTAGAGGCCTTACGTTTTACAGGGGGGAAGACTTTAATATATACACGGTGGCAGGGACGTAGCTGACTCCATATTTCGGGAGGGGCAGCTACATTTCGGAGGGGGTGGCGAGAAAAAATTTACAAAAAAATTGTCGAAATAGAAAAATCATAAGGGGGGACCCTTATGTTTTTTTCGGTACCGCCGGATTTCGGGAGGGGCAGCCTGCCACTCTGCTATGGTGGCTAGTAAGTATTTGTCAGAGTGAAATCGGTGTAAAAAATTCCAGAAGCGGCCGAATTTCCCTTTTCGAGAAGAGCTTTGGAAATTTATTTCCCTTTAGACCATTAACAGCTTTACAGCCCTAGTTTGCAAAAATAAATAGACTGATAGTTAAATTGCAAAAATCGTGTGTTTCTACGACCGGCAGAGGGCAGTGTTTATTCTAGGGCCACCCTGGGTTTGTCATTTCACCACTCAAAATCTATTTCTAAGTTTTAGAACAAACGGCGATGTCTCAAAAAAGGAGCTCTGGATAAATATGTGAGTGCAAGATAATAAGACAAGTAGTAGCGGTATACGGTGTTCCTTCAAACTTTATAATTCCAATATTACAGAGCCCTGGTGCTAAGCGATATCTTATTCTTCGCGTGCTTCATCCTGTCTTCAATACTCTTTTTACGGGTCTTCAGCATTTACGCCGTCTTCAGCAGCATTATCATCTCTATCAAAAACACGGTAGGAGCGTATGACTTTGCGATAATTCTTTCAGCTCTGGGTTCTTCTATTTGTGGCAGGGATCCTCATCACGCTGTGGGTAACGTATGCCTCATCTCAGGTAGATTTCACCTTCTTGGCTATGTAAATCTATTCTAGTATATTCTAATGGGTGCCGACAAAACCGACAGCTGGCCGTTTCAATTTTTCAAGTACGTTTTTCACTTGAGACGTTAAATTTTATAGAAATGGTGCCTGGGAAACATTTGGCGAGCTTGCAGATGCAAACAAGAATGGCAAGTTGTTAACAGTCCCTTACAAGCGCTTAGAAGCCCCAAATATCAGGGGCCGGGGCTTATATTTCTCATTCCTTCATCGACTTTGGCCCATGAACCGCCGAGCACGTGATTTTGGCGGTGACAACTGGGAATTTCAACCTTATGCGCTTCCCACGTCCCTGGATGCGCCAAAGGTTCCAGCGCAGTTTACCCCTTCCCCGCCTAGCCGGCCCGTAACTTTTGTATCTTGGCTGCCGGTTATCGTACAGGTAAGTAAAGTATACCAAGATGTTCGCCTTGCTTTTGCGAGTATTTTGGTATACCTTAGAACCCGGCAGGATAACGCGGAGCCGAGATACGGTGCGTGGAGTTCGCGGCTGGGGGAAGTGGGCGGGGGCGGGGGGGTAAAATGCGCTCAAGTTCCCCTCGGCGGAGAAGTTCCCCTACATTTTCCGTAACGATTGTGGCTACAACACCATAACCAAGCATAATTAGGTAATCACTGTGCACTGCCGGAGACCATCTGGAAATACAAATACAAGGATTGGCAGGTTTGCATTGGGATATATAGCTTATTGATACGTTTTTAGTGCGCCTCACAAGGTTGGCTTGTGCCTGTCATCATGTTTGCATATACGATGACGGCGTCCGTGATCTTGATCAACATCTTGACAGCCGTGTTAAGGTAAGTATCTAATGACTAACAGAGCGAGCCAAAAACCCTTGCAGCAACGAGTTCGAGACGGTGAAAAAAGGGGACGGCTGGCGACGGGTTTGGTACAAGAAGATGGTAGAATACGAGTATAAGCCAATCTTTCCGCCTCCCCTAACCTTCATCTTGATGCTGGGGTTCGTGGATTTACTTTACAAAAAGCAATTTTTTTATTATAGGTTCATACCGATGGTCATCCTGCTGGCTAGTGAGTTTTTATGAGCTTCTACATATCTCTGCATTTAGTTCCATGCTTCTGTTGTGTAACAGGATGGGATGGTTTCACAAGATGGTTGCGTGGGCTTTTTGCCAAGGTAGTAGCGACGGAGGACAAAAGAAGATGGTATTTCTGGTCGGTTTCCTTAAAGCCCTTAAAAACCCGATAACCAGTTCCTCCTCTCCAGTTTTTGACTGACGACATTTTCAGTATTAACGGTGTCGATGATCCGAATGGTGGACCGCGAAATGGTGGGGGAAAGCAAGGTGGCGCTGAACAATCCGCACAAGTGGCTGGTGAACAAGGAGTTGACCCACCGCCAGCTCAGGTCGTCGGTATACCGGGAGATGATCAACCACCTAACGGTAGAGCCGGTAGACCCGACACTGATCAACAAACTGATGATGGTGGAACGTGTCTTCATGCACATGCTGCCGCAGGATCTGGTGTATCCGGCGCTGATCAAGGACCGGTTTTTCGATCCGGACCGGTAGATCAACGATTTGCTGCAGGATCAGGTGTACAGGGTGATGAGCAACCATCTACTGTCGGATCCGCTAACCCGGACAATGGTCGACCGCCTGATGATGACCTCGCTAGAACGGATGATGATAATCAAATCGGTGATGAGACCGGTATGCAGCGCGGTGAGCAGCGGCGTGCCACTCTAGGAGCTGGTGGGTGGCTTGATGGCCTGCGTCCAGAGGGTAGATACAGCGGAGCGCATGATGACCACCAACTTGATGATAGACCCGGTGGATCGGGCGGTGAACAACACCCTGATGGTGGATCCCACAGACCTGGCGATGTTCAACGAGCTGCTGGAGGACCCGATAAACCGGGCGAAGGTCAAGGAATTGTTCCGGTCCGGGATGACCCCGATGGCCCAAGAGAGCTAAGTGACGCGCAAAAGTTCCGGGACTTCGAGAAAAAGGCTTGGAAGGAGGTGCGGCTAAAAATTGAAGGTAACGGATTGGTAATCACTTGCTCTATGAATATTAATGTACGCAACATAATGTAGATTAGTTTTTTCAGACAAAAGCATCTCAATCCTACTGGACCGCGACACTGATCTTCAACTCGTCCTGCAATACCTCGAGGGGGCCGCGCAAATGAATCACCGATATTTGTTCCTCAGGAATGAGCAAGACGTCGAGGGAGAAGATACTGGCAAAAAGAAGAAGGAGAATGACAAGCTATTCCCGGAGCCCAATCAACTGCGCGAAGGCGAACCTGAGCAAATTTGGGTAATATGTCCCTTTGAAATCCCAGCTGCATGGAAGACAACATTGGTTCCAGCAGTTGATGAGCAGCAAAGGTGTTTCTGGCAGATGAAAGATTTTGACAAAAAAATGGATCAGAAGTCGCTTTCATTCCACTCAATTTCGGAAGGCAATAGGCAGACAAGCCAGAGGCAATCTATGGTAAGCAGCTCTACAAATTTGGAGGAGGACGGTGGTAATAAAATGACAAATTAGGTTACGTTTTTGCAGCCTCATAATTATGTCACGGTTCGTCAAGAAAAATAAATGATGAATACCCGCTTATCGCATAAGATTCAAAGCGTTCGCAAAGCACAAGATACTCAACTTTGAACAGTACAGGCCAAAAAATTTGCGCAAATATACCTAAAGAACTTCCAAGTTATTGCTAGCATCTTAAAATGAGGATGCGGTGGTGTTTAGCCGATAAAACCAGAAAAGTGCTGGCGTGCTGAAATTTAAACTATAACGGTTTACGAATGTGTTTTCACAGCACTTGGCAAAACTCTTTATTTACACCAACGCCTCGAGCGCTTCAGTCATTTGTATCAATTGCTCATTATAAAGTCGCGAAGTGGACAGATAATTTTCCATATAGCTTTCGAAATTGACGGCGGCGTCGACGATGGCCTCATTGACTTTTTCCCCAGCTGCGTAGTCTTCTCTCCTACTCACAGATGCCAATGCAAGTCGATGCGCATTGCTGAGGGTTTGGAAGTTTCCTCGGATCATGTCATGGATTCCGCAGATATTTTTGGCTAATCCCTCGTGATGACCATCGAGGTGGGCACGGGTTTTCGAGGTTAGATCAACGAGTTCGGCCAGGTAGAGATGTCGAAGCGCATGTCGCGGGTGATGAAGTGCCGTACAAGTTCCACAACACCTCTCATCACAGTCCGTACATTGGAACCCGTACTCGATCGGATCCATCTTTTTGCATTTTTGGCATGATCGAGCTGTTTGGTTCGGGTCGAGGACAGGACGTCTTGGTAATGGCCCATCATCTGGTCCAGACCATCTCTCCTGGACTTGACGTTATAGGGATTGTGCCAATGTCTGGTTCTTCTTAGTTTTCTGCTCGGCGTTGGCTAACGATTCAATGGCGTGTTCTGCGTGGTCCGTCACGGCACAGAATCCGCACAGCGCTGTCGAACATCCTTGGCAGTGTAGCATCTCGCCGAGCCAATCCTCGCGTGGGCAATTGGAGCATCGACGCACGGAGTCGAGACTTCGAAGACGGACAGCTTGGGCGGAATCGGTGGATACCTTAATTAAAACATATTGTCTCTACAAGCTGTTGCTCTCCGCAGTTCAAAAATCTCTCTAAAGCAGGTGATTGTAAGTGGACCAGGCCAATTCGAAATGCCTTCAAAATGTGTTAGAGCCGTTACGGTTCCTTAGAATTTGCTTAATTTTTACGGCACGGTTAAAAAAACAATGAAGATTGGGTTGAAGAGCTTAAAAAAGACGGGCGATAATTTTTCGAAAATCGCTATTTTATACATAGGTTTTTCGAAAAACATTTTTCGAAACAACACATCTTCGAACGTATTTGTTCAAAATTCATGTTTTCGAAAATCATTTTTAAAAATCAGTATTTTCAAAAAGTGGAATTGCGATTTCATATCCCTGGCGACCATTGCCTTTCCATAGCTAGACGCAAATTTTTCCAAATTCTGGTTTCAAAAAGGCGTTTTGAAAAAAACAGGTTCGGAAAAATGATTTTCGAAACATTGGTTTTCGGAAACACGATTTCGGAAGTGTCTATGCAAACCTTTAAATCCTACCAAAAATTGTTAGAAATATGTTTAAACGTCAGCTATTAAAGGCAGATTACACTGATCTAATAACCCTAAAAGTGCGCTACTGGGTGGCTTTTTTACCAGAATCATTAGACAGCATTCTTAAGATCCTTACCTTAGCATACGCTTCATAGAACCGCATCAGCTCCCCATCAATCTTCGCTCGAATCCCATATCCACACTCCAGGCAGCGACGTCGGCAGCTCTCACAACTGATGTGGCCACAGCCGAGCACGATCAGATTCTTTGTTCCCAGGCAGCTGCGACAGTTCAACGGAAAGAACTTGCAGATCCAGAACCAGCTGCCACTGTCTAACTCGACTGGTGCGGATGACAGGATCTCGGTGATGAAATCGGCTTTTTTCGCGGGCGGGGCTCCGCTGTATTGGACGCATCGGGCACATCGGATGGTACCGTTGTTCAACATCATCGGGGTTCGGGATGCAGAGTTTCCTTTGCTATACGGTAGCCAGCAACCACTGCATGAGAGAAAGGCGAGCTCATTGCCGCGACCGCCTCTGAAACCGCTTTGCTTTTTGAAAAACTAATAATAATCTAAAGTAGCGCAACTTTTCAATAAAAAATCTAAATGACAACCGTATGAGACCGCCGGAAAATCGACTATGTACATTGCTAAATTTAAAAAGGGGTCTGTGCAAAGGGAATAACCTGGGCCATTTGGCAGATTAACACAGCTATATTGCCTGAATCCGCCTGCAGCTGCCAGAATCACAGCAAAATTGGTACTGTTCTATTTTGAGCGGCGGCGAGGGGAAAGTTGCGGTGCGGTAAGCTAGCCATAACTATTTTCACGCATTTTACGCCTTTTCGAATGAGGTTTAAGAAAACTTGGAAAATCGAACTGGTCGAAAACTAGCTTTCTAATTTACTCTCACATATGGAATGCATGCTTAAATTTTGTTTTTGCTATAACTATTTTATATTACGCTATTTCGAGAAATTCAGACCTAGATTTGTCAGTGACCCAGATTCTCGTACCTCCGTTTTTGTGGTTTCTGAGCAGCGTAGGCGAGCAGCGGCAAGAAGACGACCAGCAATCCAAGAACTATCGGCAACTCCATAAGACAGGCGATGGCGGTAACTGAAGTATTGACGAAAAAGGTAAAAAACAAAAGCAAATGTTTTTAGATATTTCGAGAATGGCTAATGGTTGGTCACCTTCAGGCAGATGGATTTCTTTAGATACCGTATCCTAATCCATCACGCTAAAGAACGCATCTGCGACAGATGTTGTTTGTATGCGCAGTAATATAGAACCAGCGAATATTAGCTGATAAAAGTAAGCGCATTAATAAATCGCTGGAATTAATTGAAAATGGTGTAAAATCACTTTTTTCGAATTTCAAAACATATCACCGATACTAAAATTTTGAAAAAAGCGCTTCTAATCCTTGAATAACAATGTTAACTAACGCCTTATTTTAGAAACATTCTAAAAACTTACTCATCGTTGCGTCGTCCCTGGTTACCTCGAAAAAATAATTATATTTGTTAGGTGAAAATAGTAGTTTAATTATCTCAAATACGTTGTGAGCAGCGGTCAAGGATTGATTACGCGATTTATTGCGGCGAAAAATGTGTTCTCTTTTCCAAGGTATTGGAGGAGAAAGAAGGAAAGGGGGAACGCGGCGGACAAGTCGCCGCTTTTTTGCAGGGCAGTGTTGACTAACAGATTCCACGTGTTGTTGTGTGACGCGAAAGGGCCAGCTTTTACGCGGAAAATTCTAAATTTAGAAAGAAGGCCATATCAAGCTGCCGAAGTTTCTAAAGCTCGGAATAAAATAAAAAACTCGATCCTGCGCACAGTCCCGTGGCCGTACGTGAAACCGAGATAATGTAATTGAACTAATTAAGATCTAATGATCTTTCTGACCTACAATGTGCATATGCGGCTTCTGGAGTTCTAATTACATCCAAAATCTTCCGGTTTAAACGTACAGTATCGTACTTTTAAGGGATACCTCTGGCAATTAAATTTTAGATTTTTTCAGGTCTACATCCGGCGTATCCGGCTTCTGAAGCTCCAAAGCGCGTCTGAAATCCTCCCGTTGCAAGCGCATACACTCTCGTACTCGTACCTGAGCATGGTCCTGGTACTGTATTGTTAGTTTTTGTTTTCATTCAGATTCTTTTTTTCCGGCTTTTGAAGCTCCAAATCACGCTTAAAATCCTCCCATTCAAGCGTACAGTCTCGTAGTCGTATGTATTCCCCTCCAAATGGTGTGCTGGTGCTCGAGGTGCGTGGGGGCTTAGGGATTGAGGGCAGCTGGGGGGATGAATGGACAAGAAGGGAGAGCGATCAAATCCATCCGGAAATTCGACTCGCTCCAACCTGACGCCCCAAGCTAGGTGAAAAATCCTCCACGGGTTATACACCTCCGCTCATTTGCATATTTTACATATACGATTTTAAGGGTCAAATCGAAAAATTCAAGGCTGTTTTTAGCGCTTTTTAAATGGCTGAACAATTGTTATTTTGGATTTTTCAACTTTCAAAACATTTTTTTTTGTTTTGCGAAACGTCTGAATACTTTTTTGAGGCATACTGTTGCTCCCGATTTAGCTAGCGTAATGACTTCGGAATCCGGAATCCCCCGTACTTCGATCATCTCAGTCACGCTGGACCCGAGGCAGCGGATGAGCGAGATGGAATTCTCATCCAAATCCTCTTCCACTGAAATGTCGATACCTCCAAGGTATGTGAGCGTTAAATTAAAATTAAATCTAAACCGAATTTTTAAAAATTGAGCTTTACGGGGAAAACGATGCCCTTTATAGACGCATTGCATGAAAAATCTTTACGGTCAAATTTATTCCTATTATATTTTCGCACCCGCACTAAATATACCCAAAAATCGAAAATCTAAAATAGCGATGAGATCAATAAAATTTTTCCACATCCTGCCGTTCCTTCGAGTCCCATTTCCCAAAATCCTCCTTGTTTAGCACGGCGGCCCACGCGAATTTCTCGGCGACAATTTCTTTGGTCCATGTTTTGTTGTATTCTTGCTAGAAAGAAACATAAAATTAATTTTAATAAAGTAAAAACTATTTAACGAAAGTAAAAGTAAAATTTTGGTAAATTTAAAATTAAATTAACCTCAATAACTTCCTCTGCCCGGCAGGGCACATAGAAAATGTGTCCATGTAGCTCGGCGGAGCAGGTTTCTTCGAATAGCTCTCTAAAAACATTTCTGTGGAAATTTGGATTCATTTAAGTGTTGCATATATAAAACTGATTTCGAAGTGTTTCGAATTTGCAGTATTCAAAGTTTTAAAAGGCCTGAATTTATCAGTCTAAAATTTGGAAAATTATTTAATTTCCTCACCTTGGATACACAAATCGAACTCGTTTCAAGTTTCCATGCTGTGAGGCGATATACGCTATATTTTTATCATCATAGAGGAAAAACAAATCGACGGTGAAGCCCTCGATCTTGTGCTTTAGCGTGAATTCGAGGCTGTCTGGGAGCTGAAAAGGCGTATTTTTGCGCGCTTTTACGTTTGCGCTGCTTTTGTGCCAGATAACCTTGTCTTCTAGAGATGTATCCTTAAGAATATCTGCTAGTCTGCCTGTCCCACGAAACGCCTTCTCAAAGAATCTCTGCTAACTTGCCTCAATCGTGCAGGGTGGCTCTCAAACAAGCACTGTTAGCTAACTACCACCCGCTAGGGGAATCCCAAAAGATCTCTGCTAGCTTGCCGCTGCTTCTAGCCGTTTTAGAAGTGTTCCCAAAGAAACTCTGCTCGCTGGCCTACCTTAGAAGCCATTCCGAAATGATCTCTGCTATTTTGCCACCTTCTTTCAAAATACTTCTACCGAACTCTGCCGGCGCCCTCGAGTTTTTAAACCTTTAATAATTTTTGATGTTTATAAACATTAGGAATCCCCCTGCAAATACGCTAGACTCTCTAGACCAAAATTTGGCGGACCGATTTCCCCCGCCCGTTCTCGCAATCTTTGCCCGGCTGTATCAACACCGACAGGCTAGAATCTGCTATTTGCCCATCGCCCGAATTGGCCTTTAGTCTCGGGAAAAATGCAGAATTTTTCAATTTAAAGGGCAGACAATTAAAAGTCAACTTTTAAACAGCTTGACAGTGATAGAATATTTCTTACTTTTCCCAGCCGTCTCGTCAGCTGGAACGGATAAATATTCGTGCCGTTTTCGAGGAACGGCCAAAATTCGGGGTGAAATTCGGAGACTCTGAAACCAGAATTAGATCCTTTGTCTCTCTTGTTATCTCTTGTTCTTTCTGTCCCTCTCTCTATCTCACACTCTCTCTCGCTCGATCTCGATCTCTCTCTCTCTCTCTCTCTCTCTCTCTCTCGCTATTACCGTATTGCAAAATCCATATCATTGGTGGATGGTAATATTGTACATTCTCGATACCAACCTAAAATCTGATAAAAATACTTAAGGTACTCTTATTACCTAATAACGACCCAAAAATCAGCATTGGATTCATCCCAAATTTTTGCATTTTCCGCTGCAACTCCCAAATCTCGGGAATCCGGGATTTTGAAATGGTGCGGCCTCTGGCTAAAAGAAAAATGAGAAAGAGGGAGAGGGAGAGAGAGAGAAAGAGAGAGAGAGAGAGAGAGAGAGAGAGAGAGAGAGAGAGAGAAAGAGAAAGAAGAGAAAGAGAAAGAGTAACAACTGGCCTACTTTCATAATAAAGCCGTAGCGTATCATTTTTAGAGCCGATTGATCGATGCATATCTGCAAATTTGCATAAGTTTTCAACAGTTTTAATTAAATTTAAATAGACTGGGGTTAGCGGGCGTAGCCCGCTAACCCCCTTTTGGTACCCCCATACGACTCTTTTGGGGCCCTTTTCCGGATTTAAAAAGAACGAAGCATCGGATCCAAAACTGAATACACCATCGGAACCGCGACACTTTTTACATATATAAGCTTAAAATTTGAAAAAAAGTTAAATTTAGAATTTTAACAGCCGATTAAATTGCGTTTCGAGGGGGGTACGCAAAACCTTTGTAGTCGCAAAAAGTGCCTTCCCACCATCCGTTTGGGCTGAAATTTTGCACAGTTATTGGGTGAAAGATAATCTCGGACCGCAAGAAGAGTTTTTTTCAAAATAGGCTTTTAAAAAATTTATATTTAATTTTTAAGTTTAAAAGCTAAATTGCGGCCAAAACAAGGGTTAATGATGTCCGTTTGGGCTGAAATTTTGCTCAAATATGCATTAGACCATGCCAGATAAAGTAAAGAAGAAATTACATCGAAAGAATGCTTCTTCTCTGAGATATTATAACTTTAAACCTTCGCCATACGGGGCGCCGCCCTCCCCTTTTACGGCCCCTATCCCGAGTCAGGGCGGGCGGGTCTAGCTTCCCCAAGACAGGCCTCCAGTCTCCCCGTTGGCCTAGTGGTTAGGACGCTGTACTGGGAAGTCTTGCCCCACGGGTTCGAACCCCACCCGCAACATCCGTTTTGCCGATTGGCCCCGGTGCATCCTTATGGTTGCTAGTACCTCTGCAAAGCGCCGCAGGCAAATTTTTTTGAAGTTTGACGTACATCTCAATAAATATCCCGTGGCTTATTTTATGATCTTAACAACAAGATTGAGGCAAAAAGGGCAATTCTCTCTAAGGTAAAAGAGTCTTTTTAAAGGGCTTTTGGTTTTCGCAAAAAGAGACGAATTCTCGTGGCAACAAAAAGGGCTAAATTCCTTTCAAACTCTTAAAATGCCACAAAATGTGGGATCAACCAAAAGTTGCTGGCACCTTATTAAAATGGACAGATCCAGTTTCTAGCGGTTTCGGCTTGCAAATAATTTCTGTATTATGATCGATTTGCATTTTCTTGAAATTAATCTGTGGACCTGACCTGTGATCTGGGATGGTACCGAGTTTATTAAGGTTTTAAATAGCCAGCAACTTTTTGTTGTTCCCGCATTTTGTGGCATTTTAAGAGTTTGAAAGGAATTTAGCCCTTTTGTTGCCACGAGAATTGTCTCTTTTGCGAAAACCAAAAGCCCTTTTTAAAAGACTCTTTTTAGCCTTAGAGACTTATATGTTTAAAATGTTATAAACACT